TCTACGTCATTCCGGCACCCACCCAACCGGTCTTCGCCTCCGACACCTCACCGACCGGTTATTTTCCAGTTGGACCTGAAGCCGATGCAACAACTGGCCGTACGCAACCCTTATTACAACATCTTGACCCCCAATGTCGCGGGCAACCTTCCTACGGCCACCTATGACAGCTTGTTCCAGACGTTCAAGGTCATCTACCCGGACTATGCTCGCAGTCATTTCGTTTCAGACCTCAAAACCGTAGTCACCGACACACTGCTACAACGCTGGTCCATACACCTACCAGCGTCGGAGTTCTACATGATGATTGACACCGATCAAGGAGCTCAGATGCTTGACGACCTTCCTCATTCTCTTCTGGATGTTTTGAATTGGTTCTACCCGAGATGGAAAACTCATCAACATCTCGATGCCTTCACGACCCGCGAGTGTTCTCCGTTGCTGCTGACACCACATCCAGATGCACAAGACACTGGCTTTGCTGTACATGTTCAAGTGATTCCCCGTGGACATCCATTCGTCACGGCCACCCGATACACTAAAGCCGCTGAGTGATTAGCTGTCTTGATGGATCTTGACACGGCTCACGTCTATGAGGGAAAAGACCAACATTCGTTGTGATGTCCACCACCCCGGTTCTGATTTTCCCTTGTGTCATCCTTTTCTCGTTTTCCAGTGGGTGATATTCGTTATTTATTCCTTCATCATTGACCTTCCCCACGGCCTTTTGGCTTCAGTTTAGTATTTCCCGCTATCATATTCTTTTGATCGTACATGATGACCTCCAACACGGATGATCCTGCTCGATTGGTCTCGCACGGTTTACCACCTACATCCATACATGGCCTTGCCTCACACTTGCCACCGGATGATCCCACCTCGGCATCCTATATTCCTCGTGCAGCGAGAATGATTCCGACCTCTACCACTGTCCACTCCGTCTTCATCAAGAAGCTGAGCTATCCTTTGTCTAACCGTTCAGATGAACTTTGGATCGTGGAAAGGACACTTGATGGTCTTGAAACGTGGAAACCAGTGGAAACATTCCTGGAGAACATGCACCTCACCAACGACCAGGCAACCTTGCGCACTACAGCTAACCATTGGCGCAGATACTATGATGTACCAATTCAACCATCATCCTCCTCCCCTACGGCAACTACTGTTCCCGTTTTACCACACCCTGAACACTCCAACGTCCATGTCTCACAGCCGTACGAAGCGATACCGGACCACCTCCATATTTTACAGTCATGCTGGGGACGCTCCGCCCAACACCATTCTCAAGGAACCACTACCTCTTTATATTGGCCACCTTGGCGGTCTACACCACCGTCTTCCCCACCGGCAACACTACACCGTACTGTATATCTCACTCGCCCCGCTGTCCCTCCTCAACAAGTACATGGTCCGTTGGATGCGAACGATATTTACCCGATGGATATGTCGGATTCAAGTGTGTAATATACCACATTCTTTGTCGGCGAAAAAAAGACCTGTGATTCATCGTCTCTTTGTGTGACCATTTACTAGGTACACCGTTTCTCTTTTATTTCTAACACTTTGTGCTTGTTCCTGTGGCTATTCCAACCCATTTTGCAGCTTGGGCTTTGCGCTTTATCCTCGATACTTCACATTCGACGCAATGGCTCGTTCTTCTCGACCCAATCCATATCGCGCCACATCTACGATTGAGACACCGCTTGGTACACGAACCGTTGGGTGGATTGCTGGACATCGAGGCCTCCCTGGTGATGTGAACCCTCCTCCAAACAGACCTGTCCTTATCTTGGTTGACTTCTCTCCCTTACAGGCATTGACTCACCGAAGCGAACCTGACCGTGAACACTACATGGCTCTGGTGAACTCCAATTTTAGACATGTCAGTGGCTTTGAACTTGCAGCTTTGTTTACCTGGTCACGTCAGATGGAACCAGTTGAAGCCGGCCTCATCCCAATTGCCGAACTCCGCTTTTGTATCTCCAAAAGATTGAGGTCCCAATGGGACATCCAAATTGATCCCTCGAACCTGGAGTTTCGCTTTTGCGACTTGGACGGTGATACATTCCAAGTTTCCAATGATATGACGGTCTTGCAGCTTTTGGAGGCATACCGACCTGAGTGGCGACTTCGGCAGTACAATTCCCGCGAATCCTCTTTCCTCATCCCGGGTACCAGACAGCCTTTCGTACTACGCTTGAAATGCTACAAAATTAGCTCCGGTGTGATCCTGCCCTGATACGCTAGCCGGCCAAAAAAGACCATGCTACAGGGTTTCAATTCTCCCTTGACACCCCACCAACACCAAGGATTCTTTGATTTCTATTTTATTTGACTTGGAGCTGTGGCTTCTCCGTCGCAACTGACCCACTTGATTGAGGACTGGATTTCACTTTTTTTCATTTTTGTGAATATTATCAATTTCGGGATTGGCTTTCTTCTGCAATTCTTGATGCTTCAGCCGTTGTTGCACTATTTCTCGTATTTGTGACAGTTTCACCCATGGAACACAAACGAGACGCGACCGTGGCGGGCTTGTCTTGGCCTGCGAACTCTACTCGTGGACTCGCTCCTACCGACCCAGTTCAAGTACCAGACGCCTCGACTTCTGCACTATGTCACTCAGGAGCTCCCGACACTACGACCAACCCTACTCCGGCACCTTTGGTAACTGACAGTACGGCACCTGCTACGGGTACACTGGCCCATTCTGATACATATTCAGGACCAGCACCTCCTGGCGTTCCATTTCCGACAGACTCAAGTTCTACACACAACTACTTCCATCGTGCTCAGTTCTCTTCTCGCGTGGTTCACCAGATCCAATTCAAGGTCATTACCCACTCCAACAACACCAGGGAGCTATTCATTGAAGAAATTCCTTTGTTAGGGCATTCCCGATGTCGTGACCCTGAACACTATTTCTATGGTCTCTCCGGCAACTGGGAGTGGTCCCTGCGCACAGCGGACTATTGGCGACATCATTTTGAGATTCCCCTTGTACATGGACACCATCCTTTTCACAATGTGCCCATTGAGACGACATCTCCTGGAGATGAACCAAGGCTGACCACCCGGATCCATGAATTAGCCAAAGATCTATCTGACACCTTGAAGGCTGCTACGGCATCGGGGGAATTCGATCAGACTTGGGCGATGGTTGAACGCATGAGCTTCCACGATGCTATGGAAGTCCTTCTACAAGCTCCGAATTCCTCTTCTGACTGAAGTGACCGCCCTTTTGTACATTAGGTTATTACAGGTTCACTTTCACTGGTGTCTTGCCGATTCCGCCAGCGAAGTTCTTCCAAAAAACCGACCTCGCTACATGCGAGGTGTGTGTGTGTGTACCATCTGAACAGATGTAAAACTTCTGATTGGTTTTCACTAATTTGCAGGGGGCCACGGCTCCATTCATCAGTCCGTGGCCAACGAAGCTACTGATGTTTGGAGAGGATATGCAGTCTGATCAACTGCACGTACCTGCTTTTTTTTCGGACATAGCAAGGGGCCAAGCTTAGAACCCCAACCACAATATTATACAATTTGCTGCACTGTTGTCGCAATCTGGAATCAATTTTGAAATTTACATGCATCAGAACCTTCCTCAGATTTTCGCCGAAACCATATCGCCGACAGTATTATGTTTTTTGACTTATTTTCGCCGAGATCCTGTCGCCGACGAACTATGGGTTATTTTGGGAAACAATCGCCGAAACATTATTTTGGATTTCCACATGCTGGTCAAAACTCTATGGAATCTGGTTATGACTACGTTTGACAATTTCGGATGCCCTACATCGTTTGCGAGAAGTACCTCATGTGGCTCTTTTATTCATCTAATAATCTAGGCTGGTTTGCATGTTTCAGGATTCAGTTCCTGCCGGATCATATAATGATCCATTCTTGTCTAGTGTGTGTATCTCCTGAACGTCGAGTGACAACCAACAAAATGAACAGTTCACATTCACATACGTTCACCATCACCCTCCAGTAATCAAAGATGACAATGGAAAATCCGCCCATTGATATACAACATGTACATCCAAGAAAACCAGTATTAATATGTTACCCTCTGGTTAGTTATTTAACGGAAAATCCATGAAATAAATTGAGGTTTCTAGCTGGGAAAATCATCTATTTCTATGGGCCATTTTCCATAACAAACTGTTAAATAACCATAGGGTAGATCCCATTCATATCTCCATTTCTAAGCCCATTAAACCACCATTTTTCATAGCTACGTTCGTCAAAAAATACTAAGCTGCAAGACTACAACATGCACATCCAAATGTTAACTTCACCATGATGGTTTCCAAGCATGGGAAACCCATGAAGTCATTGAGACCTCAGCGTTACATCCACTTATACCCCCAGTGTCTATCCTTCAATGTAGTATGTATATATATATTAATATATATATATATATATGTATATATGTATATATAAATCCCAATAATCAATATTGATTCAAATATTTTAATTTCAGCATCATTTTCAGGATATACCAATAGTCAATGACCGGTTGGATTTGCTGTGCAAAGTTCTTTCGCCAATACTATATATTGATGAGTCATATCATTAGCTAAATCCCATTATGTATATATATATCATATATCCCATGAAATCCGTCAAAATAGTTCATAACTCTTGCATTTTATCCCAAGGCTTACGGTAATTGATTACTAAGCTGATGGTTTAGCCATGGGATTTTGGGCTCCATTCTGAAGCGTTACTAAGCAGTGGATTGGTGATGAATCCCATCGCATGAATTCCTGACATAAAATGCCTACGAAGCATTGGATTCGTGATTAGATCTTAGATACGATAAAATATCATAAATATCATATATAGATTAGTTATAAGATGTTATAAGTTATATCCCCATAACTGTGGGCAAGCCAATTTTTTTCCAAGCCCAAGTCATCACCATGTTGGGTTTCCAACCATCCTGAAGTTTGGGAGTCACAAAGGGCCGTCACCGGGCCATGGCAAGGATCAACTGGGATGCGTCCACCCGCACTTCACCGGCATGCGAGGCACGCTGGACCTGGGACGAACAACTGGGGATATGAATTACTGGTGGTTGACCTACCCCTTAATATACTGTCAATATATGGTTACTATGTGGTTAATATTAATGGTTAATATATGGTTAATGATGGTTAATAACTATATCTGGTTGGTGGTTGGGTTCAACCCCTCTGAAAAATGATGGACTTCGGAAATGTTGGGATGATGATATTCCCAATATGATCGGGAAAGTCATCAAATTCATGCTCCAAACCACCAACCAGATTCGATGAAATTCGGGTAATTCATATAATATGATTTTCCATTTACCATCTGGGTATTGAAAAAAAAATGGTGAAATGAATGGCATTTACCATCTGGGATTCCATTTCTACCATCAAAGAGGGATTTATCATCTGGGTATTTCACATAGCTATGGGAGATTGCCCATTTAGTTCGATGATTGTGATTTTTTTTTTACCGTTCGTGAAAATTGTGTGTTTATGTGATTTTCCGCAACCACATAAAATTACCAGAGGGCAACTGTTTGACAACATTGTGATGTCGATGTGTCTGAGGTTTGCCAAACCACTGACCCGTAGATTCTCAGACTGTTCAACCATGAGATGGAACGGGTTACCCCTATCTGATGAGATCCATATCCGAACTTCGGTTGTTTAAGTACTTACCCTCTGGTAATTTAACATAGCGAACTGGAAAATCACCATTTTTTATGGGAAAACTCACTATTTCTATGGCCATTTTCCGTAGCAAACTGTTAGTTTACCAGAGGGTACCATATTTTTGTATGTAAGATCCACAAGAATCATCATCCCAAAAAATTGTGGCACGATGATTTATGAACAACTGGCCTAACTGGGGATCCCACATGAAAACCCTGGTCCAACATCTAAGAGGACTCAAAAAATAACCACCTGAGCCATGAAAAATGCATGGTTTGGTCAAATATGTATTTTTATGTCTTAGAAATGATCCGGATCAAACCGGACGGAAGCCTCTTTTTGACAACGCATCACATTCTTCAGAGCTCACCTCGCTCCGTGATCGTTCGACGCCAAGTTGCGGCTTTTTCGAAGGCCGTGGTCGTTTTGACGCTGAGCCGCGCGTGGTCCGCAAACTCCTGGGATACAACCCATCGCCAGAAACAGACCATAAAAACCCAGCTGCTTGGTGTTTCAGTTCACCGTTCAATCACCATATAGTTGGTTTCATGTTGGTTACTTTCCATCAAATATCCCATCAAATTTCCCATGCTCGGTTGGTTGGGTCATAACGGTTATAATCCCAGCTATATTTGGGGGTTTCCTAAAATAGGGGTACCCCCATTTCGGGAAACCCCCAGTGGCATCAATGGGGTGATCACCGACTGATCGACTCGAGGCTTAAAACCTGGGCCCTACTGACCAGTGGGTTTACCCAGAGCTCATAAGCTCGTCCTATATGTTGATATATGTTGATATATGTTGACATATGTTGATATATGTTGATATATGTTGATATATGTTGATATATGTTGATATATGTTGATATATGTTGACATATGTTGATATATGTTGATATATGTTGATATATGTTGATATATGTTGATATATGTTGATATATGTTGACATATGTTGATATATGTTGATATATGTTGATATATGTTGATATATGTTGATATATGTTGATATATGTTGATATATGATGATATATGATATATGTTGATATATGTTGATATATGTTGATATATGCTGATATATGTTGATATATGTTGATATATGTTGATATATGTTGATATATGTTGATATGCATATATATATATATATATATTCATATTCCAGTTCAGAACTAATATGTGATACATGATATGGATTGATATGGTGGGTATATGAGTATGTATGGATCAAACATTAAGAATCATTTCGGCACCGGTTCAGATTTTCTAGAATGCCAGGTGGAATATGAGAAAATATGCCAGAAATATGTCAGATAGAATGTCAGTGGGTAGGGCTCACTCGAAGAAAGTATTCTTTTGCATATGTGTTTTTTTCACATGTGCGGGCTCCGGCAACTTTGCATGGCCAGGCGCCGAAAAAGAGCTCAAGCACTCAAGACACTCAAGCCAGGCTGTTTGATTAAGTAGTGCGGTGTTCGATCTTGTCTGGTTGGTGGTTTTAACCATCTTGAAAAATATTAGTCAATGGGAAGGATTATCAAACCACCAACCACCAAAATGGAATATGGAAAATAAAAAATGTTCCAAACCACCAAGCAGTTGTCATTCACCTTATATATCCAAGCCTTGTCAGCCTTTCTTGGACAGGTGATTTAGAATGAAGGGCGTAGCATCCTATAAATCCATATTAATCCATATTCATCCATATTCATCCATATTCTATCTACCTCAGGATGATTGTATAAACACATAGTCAGACACCCAAGAAATCCATGACAAAATCCGACCCCAAAAAAGCGGACCTTGATGAGGCCATAACGCTTGTTGAGCTCCGCCTGTGCCCTGTCGACTCCTGTCAGGGTGGTGATCACCTGCGCGAGTTTTTGAAGCTGGGGGATCGTGGAGGATCTGTTTTACCGAAAAAAAAGAGAACTGGTTGGTGGTTGACCTACCCCTCTGAAAAATATGAGTTCGTCAGTTGGGATGATTATCCCATATATGAAATGGAAAATAAACAATGTTTGAAACCACCAACCAGCGAAAAAAATGGTCGTTTAACCAACAGAAATGCTGTGTTAACCAACCAAAAACACGGGGAATTTAACCTCCCCATGGTGGGTTTACCAATGGGTTGATGACTTCAGCGAAACATGGGTGGATCTCTTTGTTTGCGGAATAAAATGAGGATCAAAGCGGCAACAATTTGATGGCTGGTTTGATGGTAGGTTACTAACCCAACATCCACTAAGTCACTATCCCAATTGGGATATCGGGTATCTCATTAAATTTAACAGGAAAAACATGCTGATGCGATTGATGATAGGTGTTTTTTGTTGGAAAAATCAAAAGGTTGTTGGGTTAGTGGATGTCTGCAGGGTGAACATGAACCAACTTGCCACGCGTTGCATCTGAAAAACATACAACCGGTTAGCCCTCCAGTGTTCACTGGATGAATCAAAGGGTAATTCTGCTTCTTCAGTTTCCGAGAAATATGAATCAAATCTGAGTCAAATATAGGCACATGATCATTTTGCTACTTCAAATCTCAAGAAATCCATGGTTTCCCTATGAAAATCTTGCTAAAATCCCAAGAAATCATGCTTTCCCTTGCTCAACAGAAACCAAAAACGTGTGAGGCTTTCGTGGCTTTTCCCCGCCGGAATTCTTCCCACCTCGGACATGATGATGCTGTTCACCACCTTAGGGCTGTTTCTCGTGCTCTGACTTGGATGATTTCGGGGATCCCCATGACGTGTTTGAGAAGCTCCATTGGTCCATCTCCATATCTTTCTAGCTGTATCATATTATATATATATATGTATTGTATTGTATCATCTGATTATGTCTGATTATCTACAGTTGAGGTATTTCCAAGTGCCATGTCGTGTTTGAGAAAGAAGATAATTATGGTAACTTCAATGATGTCACTTACGTGTCGCATAACATCTAACCGTCTTTCCTGGAAAACCCTTCTCTGCATTTGGGGTCCCCGCCAAAAAACTCAGCACAGTACCAAGAAATGAAAGCGGATCCTATTGCTCTTGGATTCTTGGTGACTATCTCTTTGTGGTTTCCACACATGGCCAAAAAATAATCCACAACAAAGATCCGTTATGCCCCCTAAATTTAGATAACCAACATATACCAACATGATGTTTAGATATTTTTAGCAGGGGGTGTAACGGCCCAACCACCAACCACTTTCATAAAATTAGATAAGTTAATCCCCGGACTGGGCCTGTGCTGTGCCACAGATCTAGGGGGTGTAGTCATAGGCTTCGGTGGTTGTGACTTACCCTCCTGGTAGTTTTGCATAGTTATGGAAACTGACCAAGCTGTTCGATGATTTACTTTTATAAATCCATAGCCATTTTCATCCATGTTCCATGGAAAATCGGACACCAGACGCTAGTTGTGGCAACAACCAGACCCTCCAGTGTCAGGAAATCCCAGCACTAAATGGCTATGAAAAATTCGGAAAATCATTGAACTACCCTCTGGTTATTTAACAGCTTGCCATGGTATGGCCCATGAAAAATGATGATTTCCCTATGATCTCCCTGTGATTTCGCTATGAAAAAATGGTGATTTCTCCCAGAACTCGCTATGAAAACTCGCCTGTGAAAGCCGGATTTTTTTCGTCGTCATCTCTGAGGTCGTCACGGTGCCCACGATCCTGGGTTAGTGGTCTTTTGTTGATCGGGGAAACCTTTTTTGTTGCAAGGGATCATGATGCCAATACCCTCTGGTAATTTAACAAAAAGCTATGGAAAATCCCCATTTTTCATGGGAAAATCCACTATTTCTATGGCCATTGTCCATTGCTATGTTAGTTCACCAGAGGGTATCCGTTCGATGATGTTAGTATCCGTTAGTATCCGCTCAATTTGACCATATTTAACCACCAAGCCAATATCCGCTCAATGACCTACTGGATTTAGTATATAGATGATGTTCAATATGGATATATTAACCATCTGATTTGACCATCATATGAGCATCATCTAATTACCTATCTATTAAGGGATCATGATAGTCATGATATTCCATTGAAATATTCACCTACTTTAGTATTCGATCTACTCCTTTGGGATGGTGGGATGGGAGAATGTCACAATCATATGCAAGGATGGGATGATTATTATCCATGATGACATTGTATCATGACACAGGGAGATGAATGGCTTCTATATGGGATGTAAATAATCTAACCAGTTTCTTACTGGGATGCACGCGCAAGTACTGTCAGTTTGACGCAAAGGAATCCGACAGTGATCAAGTTCCGTTTCTCAAATTATCCTTCAACACCCCATTATAAACTATTCAACCCTTATTCTTCGACAAACCGTTCGTTTGCAGGTTTAGCCAGTTCCACTCCGAAGTATATCAAAACTGTCCGTTCCAACTATGTCCAAGTCTTTTTTTGGGTCCACAATCATCCATCATCTTCACCGACAACCATCAACCATCTTGAACCATCCCTCAACCCAAAAAAAAACTTACTAAAAAGGAGGGTTTTTGTTAGGGCCTAGTGATTCACCAGATGATTCACCAGATGATTCACCAGATGATTCACCAGATTAACCCGAAAAAAAATTAGTGGCACCAACTCCCTTTGCGAAGAAAGACCACAGTTACCCTCTGGTAATTTAACATAGCTATGGAAAATCACCATTTTGAATGGGAAAATCCACTATTTCAATGGTCATTTTCAATAGCTATGTTAGTCATTACCAGAGGGTATCCACATGTCTTTTCTCCCTTAAAGCCGTGAATTTTCAAACTTCGCCCAAGGGACATGGTCCAGTCGGCGTACAGGGTCTCCCCGGTGGTGTAGGCGCTCATGTCGCCAAAGCCCACCGTGGTGAAGATGGTCAGGATCTGAGTGGAAGCCACGTGGCCACGTTTTTGGGACTGGTAAAACTGCCGTAACCAGAAAATTGATGGGAAAATTTTCGGAAAACAACTATGGAAATTCATGATTGACATATGAAATCATATGAACATATATTAGATCATATATGAAATTGTTTTCGTACGAAACTAATATATGGAGAATCGTGATCATCCAGCAAATGTGTGATCCTTGGATATCCAATCCGGCTGAGCCGAAAAATGTCGCCCTGAGAAAGGTACCAGGCTATGTAAAAATGTCCACCAGATATGGATAATATGGTACGTTTTAAAGTTTTTTAAGGCCCACCTTGGATTGAATTTTGACTTGCCGACTGGAAGGGTGGATGTGTGAATACAAAAATGGCACGCTTGGTCATGTGGGATCCTCTAATGGGCGACATCGACCGTGAATCTCCCGATCTGAAAGCTGGGTGCACAAGTCCCTGCGGGAACCCCACATGTCATCCACCATTTCTTTATTGATCTTAGAGGCTCTAAATCTTGGTTTGAAACATATACCCTCTGGTAAACTAACATAGCAATGGAAAATCACCATTTCTAATGGGAAAATCCACTATAAATTGCCATTTTCCATTGCTATGTTCGTTCACCAGAGGGTATGTGTCCGGCTGGAAATGCTCAGGTTTGGATTTTCAACTGTGAAACATCCTGAACCAAATGGCAGGATCATGGTCCCACGGGTCCCACGGTTTCCCCCCTTTCCATGGCCAATCTGAGATCTCCAAAACAGAAACGCCATCCGAACTGTTGGTGGACATCGCCAGTGATAGTGACAAATGAGTTGTTATCCTTCACCAAAACAATGTTAGTAAAGCCACGCAATCATATGTTGATGGTGGATCCTATTTCTTTATAGATATATAGTTGACGATGAACAAAAAACATCAAAAGCGTATAGTAAATCATGGTAGCAGTACATCATGGTTTAAAAAAAATAGTAAATTTATGTAATATGGTTGATGATTACCATTATTTTGATGATATATAGTTGTTGATGGTTGCAGTAAATCATGGTTGAAAATTCGTCGAAAAAAAAACACGGGATGGTCTGGGGCGCCCAGCAAAATACAGGGCGTGCACCTGGCTTTCGCCACACATATACTACTATTATATTATTATATACCATATCATATCATATTATATATTTCATATCATATTGTATTATTTTATCATATCATATCATACATGGAAAAACAAATTTGTATAGATATATGTAACACAACCCCCAAAAAGATCATCGGGTAGAACGTGAAAAACCGCTGAAGCAGTGGTGAATTGCTCTTCCTGAGTTTTTTTTTGTTTTGAGTGTTCAAGATACATATGCATATATATATATATATGTATATATAAAAATGAATATATATATATAAATAAATAAATATATAATAATGAATAATATATAATAGTGAATAATCTAAAATAATATATAGTAATCTAAAATAATATAACATAATATAACACAATATATAATAAAATATAATAATATATAATATTATAAAATAATATATAATATTATAAAATAATATATAGTAATAATAATATATAATAAGATATAATAATATATATAATAATATATAATAATATATAATAATATATAACAATATATAATAATATATAATAATAATATAATATATAACAATATATGATAATATATAATAAGATATAATATATAATAAGATATAATAATATAAAAATAATATACAATAAGATATGATAATATATAATATATAATATATAATATATAAAGATATAATAATATATAATAAGATATAAAAATATAATAAGATATAATAAGATGTGATAATATATAATATATAAAGATATAGTAATATATAATAAAATATATAAATATACAATAACATATAATAATATATAATAATATATAATAATATATAAATATATATATGATAATACAGAATAATATATAAGAATATATAGATATATGTGATAATAATATTATCCCATGCAAGGATTAGTTTGGGACGTGCAAACTCTTGGAAGGAGTTGCTCCAAGTGGTCTATCTACAAGTTCTGATTCAAGTTTTGAAACCACTTCTGCCATGGAGGCATCACCTTAGTGGCTCCGACTGGATGTTCAATCCGATATCTTTCGATCCAATTGTTCGTGATTTAAAAAAAAAAAACACAGAAGGCATCACCTTGGAACAATCAGATCAATCAGTTTGTACGAGTAGTTTTTTTTGAACAGCTACAAAAATGGCTTGTTGGTACCCCCAAGAAGAAATACCAGGTGAAATTCGATGAGCCAACATCATGACAGCCCAGGCCGAACTGCCAAGGTACCCATTGGACTTCCGGCTCCTGTCAGGCCACCAGTGGTTTTCAAGGGAAGCATCTGGGAACCTCATATTACTTAAGTGAACAAAATACATCTCTGGTTGGTGGTTGACCTACCCCTCTGAAAAATATATAAAAATGAGTTCATCAGTTGGGATCATTATTCCCAATATATATATATATGGAAAGTCATAAAATTCATGTTCCAAACCACCAACCAGCATGTGAGTGTACCAGAAAGTATGGCGTCCCTCAATTCAGCAGTTTCTTCACGCAAGCGTAGCATGAGTTGGTTGAATTCTCATCACTTTCTTGCACTTGATATTTCTACATTTTTTTTAGCCTGTCCCCTTTAAACGACCTATCCAAGATTTTACCAGGTATATATATATATGTATTATATACTGACTGTCAACTCTGAATTAATAAACCCGGGTTCAGGGTACCCCCAAAAAATCGCCTTCAGTCATCTGCCTTCAGTGATCAACAGCCCCGGGGGGTTGTTAATCTGGGGTTGACATTACCCAGTAATGGGTATATTATACGTTTGTAAGATTTTCTACGGGTAAACCTACAATTCGTGGGTCACGCATTTGCGGTTTTCCCAGTCATACATAGTGTATATCGCATATCCATTTATTAACTTACACACCAGTTATGTACATATATGTATATGACTATAATTTGATTGGGTCTTATATTACCATGAATATAATATGAACGTTATTACAAATTCATGTACATTTCGACTGGACATGAGTTATATCCAACATATTGAAATTTCATACATATTCATGCACACTGTTGAAAGCTAATGAGACAAGACCACCATGTTCTGAAGAAATATGGTGATATTGATTACACCAACAAATTGTATCGATTACAGTATATACCCACATGCTATATACCAACTATATTCCACTATTGCTGTTTATAATGTTTATTGGCTCCAAACTGCAAGTCTTCAGCAGTTTTAACCACCACCAAAAGACCGAATGGTTTTGTCAAAACAAAAATAGGGAAACATGTGATCATATGTACCATCTGGTTATTTAACATAGCCATGGAAAATCCCTAATAAATGGAGGTTTTAATGGGAAAATCATCTATAAATGGGCCATTTTCCATGGCTATGTTAAATAACCAGAGGGTAATTATCATGGTCCCATTCAAACAGCAATCTTTTGTGATCTCCAAACCCCACCGCCTTTTGTTTTGGGCAAAAATATCTATGGGGATTCAGTTACCAAGCTGCTGGTAAGCCATCCCTAACTCCAGAGGTGTCACCCAATCATCCGAACCCTCCAAGCAGCAAGCTGTAACTGGAGGATCACTGGGCTCTGAACTGTTTAGGCTATGGTTATCACAGTTATCACTTTAAAAACATCTTCAAACTGACGATCACCAGGGTTATTCACCACTTTTCGAGGTGGGATAATCCTCCAAGTGGGGGGGTGGTACCACCCTGGCAGTTTTTCAACGTCGATCTTCCTGCCTTGCCCCAAAGGATGTCTCCGTCCGCGTTGGAGACACTTCGCCGTGCCACCCACGTGTCCTGCCGGAACCAGCCATGGCCGCGGGGATTACCTATCAAAATGGGATTTCGTCATGGTTGACCATCAAAAAATGGGATTTCACCAGGGTTTACCATGAAAAATTGGGATTTAACATCAAGGTTTTACGCCATGATTGAGACCCTACCACTGAAACTTGTCATTTAACTATCAATCATTGGGATTTGATTAAGGATTCCACCAAACAAGATGGGGACTTAACCATATACTTAACAATACTTAACAATACTTACCCTCCGGTGTCATCAAACATGGCAATGGAAAATACACTATTTATAGGTGATTTGCCCATTGAAACCACCATTTCTAGTGGATTTCTAATTGCCACATTTGATGACACCGGAGGGTAACACGGTTTCAAATGTTTCAAATGAGGGCCCAAAAGAATGTGCTATGAATTGCTATGATCGTTGAATCAGATCTGATGTGTCCGTCTGATTTCCAGCGCCACTCCCAACCTCCGGGTTTTCATGCAAAGCAGCGCACAGGTACCTGATGCGTAGAGTCTTTGGCCCAGAGGATTCTTAAGTGGTTCAAGATCTCATCTGAGTTGGTCTTGAAAATCTGCTCCTCCTAGATTCACTATGATTCACAGGTGAATCATCACTTTCACGCTATTCAACTAGCAATTTGGGGGATATAACATGATATTTGCCACACCCAGATCTCCATGAAAACGCGAAGCATCGTGGCCATGTCTTGGGCAGCCAGTCTCCATGTCACGATCTTCGCGATTTGAATCTTCTCCTGGTTCACTTAGATAAATTGCCCAAAACATCTGGATGATCTATAATCATACTATAATTTAGAAGAGTATGTATGGATTAAAAACATCTAGCCTACGTATATATATATACATCATCTGGATTGAGCATATATTATTATATAATTAATATGTCTATATATATATAATACATATATATATATAATAATTATATATATATGTATAATACATATATATATATATATATGTATATATATAGAGATATGTATAGCCCGTTTGAAGAATGGGCTACCTGACTTCGACAACGGGCGCACCAACCACAGGCCATCAAATGGACGACCCACATGAGTCCAACGCACAAATTCATCCTCAGAGCCGCCGTGATGGATGTCTTTTGGCTGGTGGGTGGTTGACCTACCCCTCTGAAAAATATGACTTCGTCAGTTGGGATTATTATTCCCAATATATGGAAAAAGAAAAACTGTTCCAAACCACCAACCAGTTGGGTTTTTTTTGGGGAACTTAAAACTTCAGAAGCCCTGAAAAGCTGTGCTACATAGGCTGATAACTACCTATTACCTGTTTCTTTTTGGGTTATTTCATGTTATTTCCTAAATAATTTTCATTCATGGGATAAATTTAAGCCAAAAAATTCGCCAACTCATATTTCCAGAGTATTTGTTTTGACATATCTGAAAGGTTTTAATCATGGTTGAAATTGGCAAAGGACTGAGTCATTCGTTGGTGGCTGCTGGTGGCTAATTTACCATCTGGTTATGTCAAAATAGCTATTGAACATCACCATTTATAGTGATTTTTTCCCATGAAAAATGATGATTTTCCATAGTTATGTTAATTTACCAGAGGGTAATAAGCCCACCAGACTCATGAAGACTTGATTAGTTTGGAGTGGGTCACCGAACTGGGATGTCTATCATTTTTTTATGCGTTTGATTCCATCCAATCGGTGTTGCTTCCCCTGCAACAAAAAGCAACCATGATGAAAATCTGAACCCCAAAGTAAAGCAAGCGTCTTCTCTTGGAAAGTGATCGTTGGGGAAACTTCATTCCAAAGGGGACGAACATCACAAGCGTTTCAATCCACCCAGATTCATCGGATATCCCCATGTTGTTTGGTGGTCTCCAGACTGGTTGCGCAAATCCTGGTTGCGCAAATCCTGGTTGTCCACTAGTCCCTTTTGCGGTTGTTGTTAGTTGATATGGCAAGTGTTGTTGCCTTATTTTCTGCATTGGTTCTTGGCTAAATCTTGATTTAAAGTGGCTCAATCCATGATCTGGGTTCGTTTGAAACTGGAGTACCCCGAAATCCTACCGACATGCCAATAAGTTGGGGTTAAGTTCCAAGTTTCAGACATGCCCATATCATATCATTGGCATTCATTGGCTACATCCCATTGTTGGTTTCAGAAGATTTCTTACCCAATAAATCAAATATCATAACTGGTTGGTGGTTTCAACCCTCTGAAAAATATGAGTTCGTGGGATGATTAATCCAATATATAGAAAAATAACAAATGTTCCAAACCACCAACCAGATAATTGTTTATCGCTATGTTTGATACCCTGGTTAAATCCCTTTTCTCTTGCCAAACATATCGCCTCAAAATCTCAGTCATCAGCCATAAGTTATGTCCCATTATCCCATCATAATATCCCCACCCCCTTTCTGTGTTGGTGAAAGCCTAATTTTTTGAATGGATCAATCCTTGAAAATGCACCGTTCTTTTTGCCTTTTGGGCCTTTTGGCGTCCGGACATGCGCACCCCGCGAAAGCCCTGGCAAAGCATTGGCTTCGTTGCTGTGTTCGTTGGGATTCAAATGGACAGGCTGTGATGGGGATTCAAACATTGCGGATTGAAGGAACTTAAATACAATATAGGGACATTGATGATATCAAATGGGGGCAGATAGCTGGAAATGAATGGACATGAATAGAAATGACTGCTTACGCACTTGGTATTTCGCACTATCTCCAGATAATGCTCATCTGTTTTGATTTCACCAAACAACCGGTGGAGTCGTCTCTGCACCGGCTTGGAGAATTCCAAGTTGCATCGACATGTTGGGGGAACATGGCTTGAAATGCTACTCCAAACACGAGATGACTTAGTCTGGTTGGTGGTTGACCTACCCCTCTGAAAAATGATGGAGTGAAAGTCAGTTGGGATGATGACATTCCCAACTGAATGGAAAAATAAGAAATGTTCCAAACCGTTAAACCACCAACCAGTAGTTGAATTTGCGATGACTCAACTCTTTGGCCTTGAACAGTTAAATGATACGATAAGTCTTTGATGTAGAAACTATTAGAGACTAAAATGCCCCTGATATATTTCCCAGGCCACTATAGCACATGAAACTCTTAGAAACTATTCAATACCCCTGATATATGTCCAAGCACATCCAGTCCGCACATCGTTACGTCCTCCTTCAATCTCCTTCACGTCCTGCGTCGTGCGCCCCGCCTGGATGTACTTCCAAGTGGTGCTTTCGTGGAGAAAGGGCGCCAATTTGGCTAATCGACCCAAGCGGGCCAGCCTGGGCGGTGATGCTGAGAGCATGGAGGTCGCCGAATCGAATCTGTGTCATTTTTATCATCAAAAAAAACAGATATCACTAGGGATATACATATAGTTATTGATATATATATATATACATATATATATATATATATAGTTCATTTAGTTTATTTTTAGGTATAGTTCATATATGATCATATTCATATACTCTATATATATATTATATATATATATAGAATTTGTTTATATCAATTACCATTCAACTAATCCTTGGATGGTGGCATCCTTGCTGGGATGGTGGCATCGCCGGACTGGACTCGTGGGACAAGGCACCCAAAAAAGTGCAACGAAAATAGCGATGACAAAATGGTGGTTTAATGGGCTTAGAAATGGAGAAAATGGTGGTTTCATGGGCTTAGAAATGGAGAAAATGGTGGTTTAATGGTGGTTTAATGGTGGTTTAATGGTGGTTTAATGGTGGTTTAATGGTGGTTTCATGGGCTTAGAAATGGAGATATGAATGGGATCTACCTGGCCTGGTAAACGTTTACACTTTGCGAACTGGAACATGGCGAAATAGTGAGTTTTCCCATGAATAGCATGGTGGATCTTTCCATAGTTTTGTAAACCTTTACCAGGCCGGGTAACCGTTTTTTTTCAAGTGCAAGCACACTAGAAACCCGTCATCCAAAATCCAATGGTTGGGTCAACCCATTCATTACCACACACTTGAACACATATTTTTGGGTAGTTCACTGCAATCAATGCTGGAAAAACCCCCCATATGGTGAAATCCCCATCGCCATCATGACATCATTGGTGATTCGTTGGTGAAATCCAACTGATACTGAAACTCAACACTAGTGGCTTCTCCGAATGACACGAGCCGCTGGGTGATTCAACGGATGGTTTGGCATCAGTTCCATCCATAAAACCCGGCCTGGTAAACGTTTACAGTTTGCGAACTGGAAAATGGCCATAGAAATAGTGAGTTTTCCCATTAAAAAAGGTGATGTTCCATAGTTGTTTGTATGTTTTCCCATTAAAAATGGTGATTTTCCATGGATTTGCCAATTAAAAATGGTGATGTTCCATGGTTTTTTGTATGTTCACCGGAGGCTAAATTCTTTGGTCTCAATAGACCTTCTGTCAGACTTGTTGCTTGTGTCCCGTTTCCCGGTAAAAACTCCATTGTATCGCTATATCTGTCGGTCATTCGGCGGTGAACGCCAATTTGTTTCACCATTACATATACTGTGTATACGCTATATACATCGTGAAATTGGAATTATTTGCAATTATAGAAATATACCTTGAACATATAATCCCTGTCATATCATAGCTATAATCATCCGTATTTTCATACCTACAAGAAAAATACCTATCATTTATCTAATTACCTATAGTATCTATAGTTTATACCTATAATATCCATACACATGTCATGTAGGTAACATAAGAACATCCCCATTAAAAACCCCCGTGGAGTTCCTCCGTGCCTCGCGAGGCGCGAGGTGCGGTGCAAGTGAGACAGGCGTAGACCTCCAAGGCGCCAGTCGATAGTTCAATGCATTGGATTGGTTGAAGGGAAAATTTACAGGAATGCTCCATATTTCATGGTAAAAAACCATGGTTTTTAATAATTTCATGGTAAAAACCCATGGTTTCCGGTTAAGATTTTCCCAACAAAACCAATCCAATGATCAATGCGTTGGAAAAGAAAAAGGAACTGATGGGGATTTTTTATTTGATCCAATATGATCTAATCCGCCGACCCTGCCTTAGCCAAGGCAGGGGCGGCGCCTGGGACCACCGCAGGTGTGGAACTTTTTTTCGTTCCCAATGCTTTGCACTTTCCACGAGCCACCCAGGCCATAGCACCCTCTGTTCACCGCCCAGGAGCCACTCAGGCCACAGCAATTTCTGTGCACTTCCCACGAGCCACTCATGCCGCAGCAATCTCTGTTTCTACGGCGTTCCAAAACGCAACAGGCCGCGGCAGACCTTTCCTGCAGCTCCAACAAGTCCCTGAGGCCCTGGCAGTGTCCTTTTAAGGACGTTCAAGGCTGCCGTTTGCCAGCCCGCAAAACTCGCCAAACCCTCCCCTGCAGCTCCCAGGCGCCACTCAGGCCGCGGCAGACCTTTCCTGCAGCTCCAACAAGTCCCTGAGGCCTGGCAGTGTCCTTTTATGGACGTTCAAGGCTGCCGTTTGCCAGCCCGCAAAACTCCCCAAACCCTCCCCTGCAGCTCCCAGGCGCCACTCAGGCCGCGGCAGACCTTTCCTGCAGCTCCAACAAGTCCCTGAGGCCCTGGCAGTGTCCTTTTAAGGACGTTCAAGGCTGCCGTTTGCCAGCCCGCAAAACTCCCCAAACCCTCCCCTGCAGCTCCCAGGCGCCACTCAGGCCGCGGCGGACCTTTCCTGCAGCTCCAACAAGTCCCTGAGGCCGTGGCAGTGTCCTTTTAAGGACGTTCAAGGCTGCCGTTTGCCAGCCCGCAAAACTCGCCAAACCCTCCCCTGCAGCTCCCAGGCGCCACTCAGGCCGCGGCAGACCTTTCCTGCAGCTCCAACAAGTCCCTGAGGCCCTGGCAGTGTCCTTTTAAGGACGTTCAAGGCTGCCGTTTGCCAGCCCGCAAAACTCGCCAAACCCTCCCCTGCAGCTCCCAGGCGCCACTCAGGCCGCGGCAGACCTTTCCTGCAGCTCTAACAAGTCCCTGAGGCCGTGGCAGCGTCTTTTTATGGACGTTCAAGGCTGCCGTTTGCCAGCCCGCAAAACTCCCCAAACCCTCCCCTGCAGCTCCCAGGCGCCACTCAGGCCGCGGCAGACCTTTCCTGCAGCTCCAACAAGTCTTTGAGGCCCTGGCAGTGTCCTTTTAAGGACATTCAAGGCTGCCGTTTGCCAGCCCGCAATACTCGCCAAACCCTCCCCTGCAGCTCCCAGGCGCCACTCAGGCCGCGGCAGACATTTCCTGCAGCTCCAACAAGTCCCTGAGGCCCTGGCAGCGTCTTTTTATGGACGTTCAAGGCTGCCGTTTGCCAGCCCGCAAACCTCCCCAAACCCTCTCTGCAGCTCCCAGGCGCCACTCAGGCCGCGGCAGACCTTTCCTGCAGCTCCAACAAGTCCCTGAGGCCCTGGCAGTGTCCTTTTAAGGACGTTCAAGGCTGCCGTTTGCCAGCCCGCAAAACTCGCCAAACCCTCCCCTGCAGCTCCCAGGCGCCACTCAGGCCGCGGCAGACCTTTCCTGCAGCTCCTACAAGTCCCTGAGGCCGTGGCAGTGTCCTTTTAAGGACGTTCAAGGCTGCTCCAAATCTTCCCCTGCAGCTCCCAGGCGCCACTCAGGCCGCGGCAGACCTTTCCTGCAGCTCTAACAAGTCCCTGAGGCAGTGGCAGCGTCTTTTTATGGACGTTCAAGGCTGCCGTTTGCCAGCCCGCAAAACTCGCCAAACCCTTTTAAGGAGGTTCAAAGGCTGGCCGTTTTGCCAGCCCGCAAAACTCGCCAAACCTCCCCTGCAGGCTTCCCAGGCGCCACTCCCGGCCTACGGCAGACCTTTCCTGCAGCCTAACAAGTCCCTGAGCAGTGGGCAGCGTCTTTTTAATAGACGTTCAAGGCTGCCGTTTGCCAGCCCGCAAAACTCGTCCAAACCCTCCCCTGCAGCTCCCAGGGCGCCACTCAGGCCGCGGCAGACCTTTCCTGCAGCTCTAACAAGTCCCTGAGGCCGTGGCAGCGTCTTTTTATGGACGTTCAAGGCTGCCGTTTGCCAGCCCTCAAAACTCCCCAAACCCTCCCCCTGCAGCTCCCAGGCGCCACTCAGGCCGCGGCAGACCTTTCCTGCAGCTCCAACAAGTCCCTGAGGCCGTGGCAGGGTCCTTTTAAGGAGGTTCAAGGTTGCCGTTTGCCAGCCTTCAAAACTCGCCTAACTCGCGAAACCCTCCCCTGCAGCTCCCAGGCGCCACTCAGGCCGCGGCAGACCTTTCCTGCAGCTCTAACAAGTCCCTGAGGCCGTGGCAGCGTCTTTTTATGGACGTTCAAGGCTGCCGTTTGCCAGCCCTCAAAACTCCCCAAACCCTTCCCTGCAGCTCCCAGGTGCCACTCAGGCCGCGGCAGACCTTTCCTGCATCTCCAACAAGTCCCTGAGGCCGTGGCAGTGTCCTTTTAAGGAGGTTCAAGGCTGCCGTTTGCCAGCCCCGCCAAAACTCGCCAAACCCTCCCTGCAGCTCCCAGAGGCGCCACTCAGGCCGGCGGCAGACCTTCCTGCAGCTCCAAACAAGTCCCTGGGCCCTGGCAGTGTCCCCTTTTAATGACGTCAAGGTCTGCCGTTTGCCAGCCCGCAAAACTCGCACACCCTCCCCTGCAGCGTCCCAGGCTACAACTCATGCCGCGGCAGACCTTTTCCTGCAGCTCTAACAATTCCTGAGGCCGTGCCAAGCGTCTTTTTATAGGCGTTCAAGGCTGCCGTTTGCCAGGCCTCAAACGCTCCAAACCCTCCAAAAGTCCGCCCAGCTCCGCACGGAAAAGGTACCCCAACAAGCCCAACACGCGCCACTCCCGCACGCAAAAGCCACCACAAGGCCACAGCAATGGCTGAAGGGCACCCCCCGGCCGCGGCAATGGCTTCTTATAGGTGTTCAAGTCTGCCATTTGCCAGGCCTCAAACCCTCCAAACCCTCCGAATCCCCCAAAAGTCCGCCCAACTCCGCAGGCAAAAGGTAACCCAACAAACTCAACACGCGCCACGCCCGCAGGCAAAAGCCACCACAAGGCCACAACAATGGCTCAAGGGCACCCCCCTCCCCAAGTTGATTGCTTTGATCATATCTTATTGTATGTGGATATATCATTACCATTGATGACCCCTCATCATAAAATGATTAATCATCAACAAGCTGTCAGGTAGCCAACACGGCCACTGCCTCACCCTTGCGCACCTGGCGGAGTTCGAACTGATCCGTGTCCATTTGGCCGCACGGTGCAACTTCTCGCTGCTTGAGAAGCAAACGGCCATATGTCTGTCTTGCTGTCCGTCTCCCTCTCTCTCTCTACAG